CCGGGCGAACCGTTATCCGTTAACCGTCCCCAGTAATCGGTAACCGATGTCGGTAACCTGGCATGAGCAAAAATGCATTTCTGATTGCAACCAGTTTCTTTGTGACAATGCCCATTGTCACAAGGTTCATGCCCACGTGTCACAACCCGACAAGCTTGAGGAGGTTAAGGCAATGTGAATGCCGGGTGACAGGGGTGACAGTCTTGTGCAGGCACATTTGGAGACTAGTTTACACTGAGATTGGGGTGATGTTGGATTAGAATACTTGCAGTTCATGAAATTGAGGAAATGTGTTGCATAGGCATATCCAAACGTTTCATAGGGACGTTGTTTCGCCCGTAACAAACTTGTTACGGGCGAAACAAACTGGATTTCCACAGTCCCACCACTCAAAGAGCTCCCCACACCATCGCAAAGTCCCTTTTTTATTACAGACACATGTAACAAGTTGTCATAGCTTGAGATTGTCGATATATGACTGCTGGATTGTGACCAGGCCATCTCCTTACATGTCTTGCTGCACCAGCATGAGCAGTGATCCCTTCTGTTCAAAATTTTCAGGCAACATCGCAATGAGGCAAAACATTGTGCCGAATCTGCCGTACAAAGAGTGTTCAAAGCTTCACGCTACTAACAGACGAATACATAAGCATTCACTTACCTTGAAGGAATAAAGGAATTTTATAGCTTCATACAAATTCGCCTATCAGCAACTCTCCCTGGTCGTTCAAAAGTTGCTTGAAGATTCTACCATCTCCATACTATGAAGGAGCGCTTCTTCATTTCTTCATTTTATCTGAACCTTAACATATCCTTCCAACACAATGTCCATGGACAACGGTAATGAGGTCGGCGCCTACGAGTTTGACCGGAACACCCTGGACAACATCGCCCGTCGGCGACAAGATCGCCCACGCAAGAAATACAGCCAGCATCATCCAGTGGATGAGTTTGGAGTACATAAGTTTGCCAGGGCAAACAATCTAAGTCAATTTACCGCGTGCCAATTGGAGGATGCCTTGTCTCAAAAGTTTGTCCTAGCATAGCTTGCGTAGCTAGTATTGCCTGGTTTTAGTTGTTGCATGTAAGCTTGTGAGT